GGGGCGGTGACGGCGAGCACGGAGCCGTCAGACCGCGAGCCAGGCCCAAACGACGGGCGGCGACGAGGCGGCGACAAGGCGGCGACAACGGCCAGCCGGCAGAGACCGTCAGGCCCAGTTCCGTAAAATAGAAATGCAAAAAACCCAAAGTGCAAGCACTGCTTGGGGAATGAATGAGGATTGAATGACACCCTGGCGGCCGAAGAGCCTGAACAGATTTACGCAGCCACGATCTGGGGCCACGATGGGGGGCAAACGATGGGGGGCCAACGATGAGTTATCGATTTCGGGGCCTGGGCTCCATCACTGGGCGTTAGAGCAACTATGTAGAAGCCTTACAGACAAGCTGATCAGGGAATCACAGGCTGGGATGTCTGGGCAGTCCGCCGAGGGCCGCCCACGGCCACAGCTAGACACATACATCCGACCATGTGTGTTTATTTTCGATCCGCGGCCCCAAGAGGTCTCGACCGTTTCCCTGGGGACAACTTTTGGTCCCCGATTCCTTTTGCGTTGTTCCTGGGGCCCAGAGCCACCTCCAGAGGCCGAAATGAGAACGTAACACGCCAGGGTTGAGCAGAAACAATCCCTCGGATGTCTGCAGGGCCGTCGACAGCTGGCGGAGGGCTGCCGAGGGCCGCCGGAGGGCCGCCGAAGGCCGCCGGGTGGCCGCTGTAGGGAGCCGCAGGCGGCAGGAAGCCGCCTCCGCCTTCAACTGCGGGTGCGGCACGAGCCGGAGTGGCGCGTCGCTCGCGCGGGGCGCGGCCTCGCGCGCGCGGGCGGACGCGCCGCGGGCCGTCGCCGTGGTCGTTGTCGTTGTTTTCGCGGCCGTCGACGTGGGCGTGGGCGTGGTCGTGGGCGTCGGCGTCAACGTCGTCGTGGTCGTGGTCTTTGTCGTCGCCGGGCATAGGAGGGGGCAGAGAAGGGAGGCCTGGGTGTGCAGCGCCGCCGCCAGGGCCGCCAGGGCCGCCAGCGCCCCGGAGCCGCACGCCACCCGCGCGAAGGGTTGACTGGCGGCCGTGCGGAAGGCAGCCCCGGAGTCCTTAGGGGCGCCCCGCGCTGGTCGTCGCCGCCGCCAACTTCGTCGTCGCCGCCGCAACCGCCGCCGCCGCTTCTGCCGCCGCCCTTTCTGCCGACGCCGCCGCCGCCGCCATCACCATGGCCGTCGCCGCCGCCAGCACCGTCGCTGCCGCCGCCGACCCCGTCGCCGACGGAGGTGGAAGGCGGAGGATGACGAGGAGGATGAGGAGGAGGAGGAGGATGATGAGGACGAGGAGGAGGAAGATGAGGAGGACGAGGAGGAGGAGGAGGCGGAGGAGGAGGACGAGGAGGAGGCGGAGGAGGAGGCGGAGGAGGAGAAGGACGACGACTTGGAGCACGAAGGCCGCCCCCGGCTCTCTGCACAAGTCCCTACAGGCCGTCCCTGTACCGGGAGGCCAGCACCCTGTGGGCCTGCCAAGGGGGGCGGCAGCCCCGCGTGGAACCGAACTTGAGCTGCCCGGCGCCCTTTGAAGCAGCAGAAAAGGGCTGCGAGACAACACGAGCAGACAGTTTGACGGAGTGTCCAGCGAGACTCCCGTTTTCAAACCAGGACCGCACCTCGGCCGTGTGTCTGAAATGCGTGTTTACATCTCTGATCATGAGCCCCAAGAAACTCTCAAGCGAGAACCAGATTTTGAAAACGAACCGCCATGCATGCATGCAGCTGTAGAATGTGTCGAAGTTTCTGGTCTAATAGGAGGTATCTCAAACCAGAACCCCATCTAGAATAAGAGCCAGTCGGTCTCCATCCCTGCAACTGGAAGTCGTAAGTTCAAGACGAGTGCGCGCGGCGACAGGGCGTTGAACACGAACCACCCTCAATCCTCTGCTGAAGAATTTGAGGGCGAATGTGCGCGGCGCTCAGGCGAGAGCTCCATCTTGAACACGCCCCCTCTCTCCACCGGTGTAGCCGACGCGAACTGCAAACTTTAGGACCACAGAGGGCGAGACGCCCCAGGCGAAACGCCCAGCCCACCCTGCGGGCACGCCCAGGGACGCGGCAGGGAGGAGGCTCTCCCAAACCAAACCTCGCACTCAGGGGTGCTTCTCCTCCTCCTCCTCTTCCTCCTCCTCCTCCTCCTCCTCCTCGTCCTCCTCATAAACTTGGTGGGTTATTTCGGGTCTTCGCCACGTTGCCGCCCGTGCTGCCTCGCGTGTGCCCCGCGCTTTGGGGACACCCAGAGACTGCGCCACGTTGCCGCCTGTGCCGCCTCGTGGGCGCCCCGCGCTTGGGGGGCATGCCGAGGTTTGGCCACTTTGCCGTTCGTGTCGCCTCGGTCTCGTGATCGCCTCGTGGGCGCCCCGTGAGATGGGTGGGTGTCCCGAGGTTGCGTCACGCTGCCGCCCGTGCTGTCTCGTGGGCGCCCCGTCCTCTGAGCTTACACGACACTGTTTTCACCACGCAGCTTACACGACATAGCTTGCACTGCATAGTTTGCACAACATAGCTTGCATTACGCATCTGGCACCCCATAACTTATACCGCGTAGATGGCCTCGCATAGCTTACACCGCATAGCTTCCACCTCCAGCTCACACAGCATTGCTTGCATATCATGTTCTTCACCCACATCGCTCACACCACATAGCTTGCCCGACATAACGTTCACCACATAGCTTACACCTCATAGGCATAACTTGCACCTCTACAATACAATAACACACTGTTTGGGGTCCACGCCGGCTGGTATGAAACTATACGGACAAACGAAAAAGAAGGTGGGGGGGAGGGAGGGAGGAGGATTGGGGGATCCAATCCCCTGTTTTCTCCTGCCCACCCCTGTCTTACTCCCGCTGCCACCCCCCACCACCACCACTGACACCGCCCCCATTACGCTAAGCATTGAACCGCGGGGATCGTTGCGTCAGAGGGCGCGCGAGCAGACAACAAAAACAACATGCATTTGCGCATCGAAATAAACACGCGTGCGGCATGCAACAGCAGGCAACCACGCAAGAATTAGGACGGGCAATGAGAAAGGAAACACGTGAGAAACCCATGTGGGCTGCCCAATGGCAAAGAAATTTGTAGTTCTCTCCCCCTCCCGTCTACAATCCTACCCCCTGTATCAAGTCCAGTGCGGGCAGCACGGCATGCAATATGACGCGGACTGAAACTGTTGAATGAACTCTCCTCCCTTCTTCTAATCCTCCCTCCCGCGACAAGCGATTGGGGTAACCAAAACGGACCAGTACCGCAACTCCCCAAACCTCTCCTGGGGTGCGTCCGAGGCGAGTCCAACCGTGGCGGCAGGGGGGGCCCTGGAGCCCCAAAACAAATGAGAACGAGATAAGGGCAACGGCATCGGTACGACCAATCAGCATCGAATCGGGAATTCGGATCGGGTCGGAACGTGCGTCGGATCGGGCTGCACTGGCACGGAATCGAAACCGAATCGGATCTGCTGCGCCACGATGCAAAACAACGTCTCGCAAAGATCCGGCCGCATCGGATCGCTGAGACTGAGAGGTGGTCGGAATCGCAACGGATCGGGTCGGCCGATACCAATATCGAACAGGATTGATCGGAGCGAAATGGACCCTGTACAGCGGTAATTTCTAACCCGAACCCAAATCCCCGACGCCATGATTTTGTCACAGCGTCGAGCCCAAGAGGTCTCGACCCATCTAGAGACCTACTAGATGGGGTCGGAGTAGATGGGGTCGGAAGATCGCGCCGGATCGCCGATACATCGGCGATGCATCGGCGATGTATCGACGATACACCGGCGACGAATCGTCGACGTGGGCGATGCATCCGCGACGCCGGCGTGGAGAAAATCGGGCTCCGCATCGAGCCGCAACGTCGATGCATCAGCGATGCGGCGCGATCCTCCGACCCCATCTACTCCGCCCCCATCCAGGAGGCCTGTCCATCTGGACCGGTTGTGATCCCGAATCGTTTTTTGACGGTCGCGGGGCCCAGCGAGGGCCCCCAGAGGCCGAAAACGGCCGGAACCCTTCCGTCGTGACTTTTTCGCGACGCAAGCATGTCTGGAAATGGACCTTGTCAGGTGGCGACATCCGAGCCCGACTCCCACCAAACATCGACTCTCTTGAATCGATGGGAGGCCGGGTTAGGGTTCGGATTTGGCCAAGTGTTCGACGAATTCCGAACCCATCCCCCGCCGCCCATCGGGTTGCCCATCGTTGCATGTCTCTTCCTCCTCCTCCTCCTTTTCCTCCTCCTCCTCCGCCTCCTTCCCGTCCTCCTCCTCCTCCTCCTCCCCGTCCTCCTCCTCCTCCTCCTCCTCCTCCTCCTCCTCCTCCTCCTCCTGGTCCTCCCCGTTCTCCTCTTCCCCGTCCACATCCTCTTTCCCGCCTTCCTCCTCCTCCTCCTCCTCCTCCTCCTCCTTTTCCTCCTCCATTTCCTCCTCCTTTTTCTCCTCCTTTTTCTCCTCCTCCTCCTCCTCCTCCTCCTCCTCCTCTGCGTGGCAAGGTGCAAGGGGCCCCCTGCAAGCAGCTCCGCGGCGGCCGCCTGCAACGGCCCCACCCCGTCGCTCTCCTCCAACGGGGGCCATTTACGACCCGGACGGCCAGGAAGCTCCTGTTGCGTTTCTTTTTTTGTTTTTTTTTTTCCCCGACGTGGGCACGTCGGGAATGGCCTTCGTATTCGTATATTTGCTTCTTCCCCCCCCCGCCCGCCGCAGCCCCCCGCCCCGCTTGAGGACCGAGGGCCCGACGCTGCCGCTGGCCAGCAGCGCGTCCGCCTCCACCGTCCTCGCGCTGCCTCGCGGCCGCCCCAGGCCGTGGTGAGGCCGGGTTGGGGGGCGGCGTCTCATCCTCCCACCCCTCCTCCTCCTCGTCCTCCTCCTCCACCTCTTCCTCTTCCTCCTCCTCCTCAGCCATTGCCCGACTCGAGGATTTCCAGGTGCCAGGAGAGTTCTCGCGTCGCAGGGAGCGGCAAACTTGGCAGTGGCACCGCCGCCCCGAGCAACCAGATGCCCCCGAAGTCTGGCGATGTGGACCTGCGCAGCGTGCCACACAGATGATTGTTGGGGAAGGACGAACGTATGCTACTGGTGTAAGAAGCCTCGGCAAGCGCCCAAGAGTGACGGGCAGGGCGACGGACCGAAGGACACGCACCAGGACGCCGATGGCGACGCCTCGAATGAGACCACGTCAGGGATTGCGAAGAAGCTGGAGATTTTCAGGGCCCGCCTCAAAGATCTAGAACAACTCTCGCAGGAACCTGGCATGGGGTTCGCATCGGAAGCCACGACGAAGCTGCAAGAACAGATCGACGGGCTGCTGGCGCAAAAGGAAGCAACACTACCAGCATGCTACGCGGACGCGGCCGTGCGCCGCCGTCTCCGTGGAGCAGAGAAAGCGCAGACAAAGGCAGACGCCCAAGTGGCGAAGCTCAAGCAGAAGCTCGAGGACATCCAGACTCAGCTGCGCGCCGCACAGAACAAGGCCGAACAGGCGGGCAAGAAGGTCGAGTCCCTCCGCGTCAAGGAGAAGTCGCTGGCCAGGCCCCCCACGCCCAAGGGCTGGGACTCGGTCTGCGCGCACCTGGAGCTCGCCAAGACGTCCCTGGGGGCGGACGGCGAGGAGCAGGATGCGGAGGTCACCAAGCAGTTGGAGGTGGCCCTCGCGCTCGCGGCGAAGAGGAAGGCGAACGCTGCAGAGAAGATGGCGGTGGTGATGGACGAAGACGGGGCAAGCCTCAGCGGCGACTGCCCACGCTACAAGAGGCGCGCTCGTGCAGGCCCCGAGGAGCAGGGCGAGGACGTCCTCCAGCTCAAGGCCAAGGCAAGCCCCAGGAGATCGCGACAGCCCGTAAGCAGGCCGGTGCCAGGGATGATGAAGTCCAGAAGCACGGGGCGATGTTGCATACTAGTCTTGCTGATATGGCTGATGGGTTCCATTTCGCGATGCGGAAGTCGAGCCTGTCGCGATCCTAGCGACATTCCAGACCAGTGTGCAACTACCAGGTCAGACAAACAGGTGTTCATCACGTGCAATGCGAACACCGCCAACCAGTTCGAGAAGGTGCTGCACCGGCCGCGCTACCAGGCCGAGGCGCCAGTCGTCTTCGACCAGGAGCTCCAGCTGGCGCCCAAGCAAGTGAAGTTGCTGTCGGCCAGGCTCATCGAATATGGCTGGAAGGCGGCAGTGGTGCCCAGCGCACCTACCAAGGAAGGCATGCCACAGACCCTCCAGCTCACACAGAAGGTGCCCTGGCCATTGATTGTGCCAACAGGGTGCCCCACCCCTCCAGTGCAGTGGCCGCGCCCTCTCCGTCGGGAGTACATCGACCACGAGGCTCTGAACGCGTTCTTGCACGATCGCATGTACGCTTACGAGATGCACTGGAACAGATATCAATGCTTTGACGGCGATGAACTTCTAGCCCACAGTGGGCACGGCGACCAGGCTGTCTACAAGATACGAGAGCTGGCGCCCCCACCGGTCAGGGACAAGGGGGCCCCGACGGCGCGAGTTATGGCAACAGAATGGGTGGCGAGTCTCTTGCGGGACCTCGTTCACATCCTCAGCAGCGGCTCGCGCGAGGCAGGCGGCAAGGACGCGGTCCACATCAAGTCCATCAAGGAGGCGATGACCCAGAAGGGGGCCCTCGTCCAGCGCCACCAGCATGGCGAGGAGCTCATGACCCTGTGGTCCCACGTCTTCGAGACCATCCTGGAATGCATGAAGGAGCCGCAGGAGCTGCCAGAGTGCCTGGAATACCTCCAGTACTGGCAGCAGGTTGCGGCCAGCGAGGCGGACGAGGCGAGGCAGAGCGAGCTCAGGGAATCCACCAAGTCCTGGCGGGCATGGGTTCGCAACCACAGCGAGAAGTCCGCGGGGGCCCTGCGCAAGTGGACCAAGTCGAAGGTCCCGTGGGAGCCCTTGGTACCACAGCACGCGAGAGAGGCAAAATCCAGACTCGGTGAGCCTCCAGAGACAGCCCCCGCAGGCGAGACGTACCAGCACGTCGCCATGATGAGGAAGAGAGTGGCGCTGAATGGGTGCTACACCGAGGGCAAATTCTGGGCGCGAGGGATCGTGGCAGGATCCGTGTTCGGCCCGCTGTGCTTGCCCCTCGGTCTCATCGGCGCCATCGACGACCTCTACGTCGCGAGCCCGAGGGCCGACATGTGCCTATACTTCGACGACCTCGCGGCGTCGACCCGAGGCGACGTGGCCGCCGTGGCGGCGCTCCACATGAAGCTGACCGACGAGATCGCCCTCGCTTTCGAGCAGGTGCTCAAGCTGCAGCTATCGAGAGGCAGGGACGGCAAGACCGTAGTCGCGGTCTCGCATGGCAGTGTGGAGCGGCAGCTTGGCAGCCACAACAAGCAGATGGGCATTCAGGTGGTGCGAGAAGCCGTGCATTTGGGTGTGACCCAGCCAGCTGAGCGGCGACGTCGTGTCGGAGCCCAGTCCAAGAGGATCATGAAGGCCAAGGCCAGGAGCTGGAAGACCCAGCGGGTCAAGGCCGCAGGAGGCGCAGCGGAGAAGGTGGTCAAGCTCGGGAGCGCGCCGCCGAAGCTCTACGGCACACGCGTGCAGGGCGCCACGGACACGCTGATCACCACGCGCGGGCAGACGGTGGCGGCGGCCGTCCCTGGCTGCAACAAGGGAAGGTCGGCCGCGCTGGTGCTGCTGGCGGAGGACGCGGACCCTGCCGTGATCGCCAACGCGGGGCCCATCGTGGAGTGGGCCAGGGCGTGGCAGGAGGCGACGGACATGGCCACGCGCGGCCTCCTGGTCACGAGCTGGCGCTCGTGGGTCATGCGACTCCACAGGCATCCGAGGCCGTGGGGCCTAGTGAGAGGGCCAGCAGGCGCGTTCATTGTAACTGTAATTCGCCTTGGTTGGAGCACCCTGAGTCCAGCTACAGTCACATGCGGGACCGAGGTGCACGTTTTGGCACTGATTGATATGAATGCTGTAGGTTCAGACTTGCACCGCACGTATGTATGCAGCGCGCGTGATGTGATGCGCAGGCGTGTAGGTGGCAGGCACGTGCAGCAGAGAGGAGCAAACACGTTCCCACGTTTCGGATCCCTCTGGGCCAGAGGAATCTCCGAGGACCCTATAGAACTCCTGGATGTTCTGCCAGTCTCGGTCGAGGTCCAACATGAGGGCGAACATCCAGGAGTCATCACAGGAGAGGTCTTTACATATGGATCACTCTTGTACGGTGAATTTTCCCCTCTTCGGCGTGCGGGGTGGAGTTTCGCCACCTTAGATGCCTCGGGGGAGAGCCGTGCTTTTTCAGCTGTCATCCCCCTCCCCCTGCCTCAAAATCGGCAAGGGATATCCCCGTCAGAGCTGTACGCAATCCTTCAGGTGCTGAAGGGGCGCGAGGCCGCCCCACAAAATCTATCGTGACTGCCAGGCTGTAGTAGACGGAACGTCCAAGGGGGAGGAGTGGTGCTCGTCCCCTGCCAGGGCACACAGCGATCTCTGGCGAGAGTTTTGGTTTCTGGTTAACGATCTTGGAGGGCTGGGCCCCAGGACCTTCCAGATAATAAAACGTAAGGCCCAAGCCACTCGAGCCCAGCGGCGAGAGATTGGCGAGAGACTGTTCAAAGGCAACCGCTTCGCGGACGAATGCGCGAAAAAGGGGGCTAATTTGTGCGCGCACCCGTTCTGGCAGCGTCAGGCGTATCAGCAGAAGCATACCATGGTAGCAGATGCCCTGGAGTTTGCTGTCAGGCTCGGCGCTATGTCGTCCGAGGTCGTCGATACGATTACCGATGTCGAAGCGAGCAGCATCAGTGGACCTGTCCCGAGTCAGGCCGCCGAGTCGAATCCTGCTCCTCCTCTGATGCCTCCCCCCTCCCCGTCTGTGGGCCCCAGGGACCGTCACACTCCCAGGGCCACAAGCCAGACTCAGAGCGGGCCGTCGGGCACAGAATCTGTCGAATTCGAAGCCCGACAAGCACGCATCCTTAAGGCACAGGGGCAAGGACACCACCTAGTGTTTCGCCCCGATTTTGTTTTCTGCAGGCGATGCGCTTCCTACGCTCAGTGTAAGTGGACGAACCTTGTGAAGGAGGGCTACAGGCCCGCCCGAGCTCGGACGGCCAAGGGTCGACTGACGCGTTTGTGGGAGGGCCGCCATCCATCCACAGGGAAGCCCTTGTAAGTATTAACTTGCACGGCGAAGGCGGCTTGCGTGATGCTCTCCATCTGCGTAAGTCCTAAGTAGCACAATCCTAGCACAATCCTCCTCCTCCTCCTCCCCGTGCACATGCTATTCCCCCTCCTCCTCGTCCCGCTCCTCCTCCTCCTCCTCCTCCTCCTCCTCCTCCTCCCTCCTCCTCCCCCTCGTCCTCATCTTCTTCTTCCTCCTCCTCCTCCTCATCCTTCTACTTCTCCTCCTCTTCCTCCCTCCTCCTCCTCCTCCTCCCCTCCTCCTCCTCCTCCTCCTCCTCCTCTCATCATCATCATCATTCTACTTCTCCTCCTTTTCCCTCCCCCTCCCCCTCCCCCTCCTCCTCTTCCCTCCTGCTCTCCCTCCTCTCCTCCTCCTCCTCCTCCTCCTCCCCGTCCACATTCTTTTCTTTCTCCTCCTCGTCCCACTCCTCCTCCTCTCCTTCTGCTCCTCCCTCCTCCTCCTTCCTTCCTCCTCCTCCTCCTCCTCCTCCTCCTCCTCCGCTTCTCTCCTCCTCCTCCTCCTCCCCTCCTCCTCCGCCTCCTCCTCCTCCTCCTCCTCCTCCTCCTCCTCCTCTCTCCCTCCTCCCCCTCCTCCTCTCTCCTCCTCCTCCTCCTCCTACTCCTCCTCCTCCTCCTCCTCCTCCTCCTCCTCCTCCTCCTCCTCCTCCTCCTCCTCCTCCCCGTGCTCCTCCGTTTCCCTGTTCACATCCTGTTCCCCTCCTTCTCCTCCTCCTCCTCCTCCTCCTCCTCCTTCTCCACCTCCTACTTGTCAACCTTTTCACCCCTCCTCTTCCTCCTCCTCCTCCTCGTCTTCCTCCTCGTCCTCCTCCTCGACGCGGGTCAGGCCGTGGGCGCGGCCAACGCAGCCAAGCTTCAGGCCTGGCGTCAAGAAGTGGCCGCGGTGAGCTTGCCAGAAGTGTCGCAGAAGGAACCAGTCGTGAAGATCCAGACTGCACACAAGAGCGAGACGGTCAAAATCCTGATGACGGCAGATCCATCGCTGCACGTGTTGATCGATTGCTTGGTGCAGCTCGGAGCGGACAAGAAAGTGGGGGTGGCGCCGATTAACCATATGGAGAGGGTGCTGCATACGTTTCTGATGGATGGAGATATGGAAATCTGACTGGGAAGTATGTTGGTGGAGAGAAGGGTCACATGAATGGCGTGAGTTGTCAGATTGATGATGATGAGGATGATTAGGTTCATGGTGAGAGGTTCGATACGCATGATGATGTTTCTGCTTCTTTGGGTACTGTTACCGGTCGTGCTGCGACGCCGTCATGTGAGAGGGTGCACACGTCAGGTGAAAATGGTGCAGGGAGACGGGCACCACCACGTGTTACAGCTTCGCCGGGCACCGCCCGTGAGGCGCGCCCACCTGCTGCCGCCCGGGCCGCCGCTCTCCCCTCCGCCTCGCCACCGGCTCCCCCCCCAAGCGTGCCAGGACCCGCCAGGACGCGACCCGAGTTTTTCGGAGATCTGGTTTTGGCGAAAGCCCGCCCGGCTCCGCGGCCCGACCCTTGGGGTCAAACATGTAGTTCGGGTCGTAGCCTGGATTGTGAAACTCTGTTCGGCTGAGGGCGGACGGAAGGCCCGAAACTCGCGGCAAGGAATGTCGGTCCCAGGGCACTTCGGGCTTCTTCGGATTTGCTTTCGGCCCCCACAGGTGTCTGTCTGTCTGTCCTCCGCCTCCTCCACCTCCTCCTCTTCCCCCTCCTCCTCCCCCTCCTCCTCCTCCTCCTGCTCTTCCCGGTCCTCCTCCTCCTCTTCCCCCTCCTCCTCCTCCTCCTCCTCCTCCTCCTCCTCCTCCTCCTCCTCCTCCTCCTCCTCCTCTCGCTCCTCCTCCTCCTCCTCCTCCTCCTCCCCGTCCACCTCCTGTTCCCCGCCCTCCTCCTCCTCCGCCTCCTCCTCTTCGTCCTCCTCCAGCTTCTCCTCCTCCTCACCTTCCCCTCCTCCTCCCCCTCCTCCTCCTCCTCCTACTTATGCTCCTGCTCCTCCTCCTGCTCCTCCTCCTCCTCCGTTTCCTCCTCCGTTTCCTCCTCTTGCCTCTCCTCCTCCTCCTCCTCCTCCTCCTCCTCCTCCCCGTCCTCCTCTTCCGCCTCCTCTTCCTCGTCCATGCCTTTTCCATATAAATGAATTCTCCCGGTCGCGCCCCGATGCAAGTTTTTAGGGCGGGCCAGGCGTTTCGCCTGAGACTTCCTCACAATTCATGACTCTGAGACTCAAAAATCGGCAACACATTTTCACAGATGGAAGGCGGATCGTTTTCAAAATGTGGCTCTCGCTGTAGCGCCGCGCACACACGATCTAACACAATGCAAGGGGCTTCACGGATTGAGGGTAACCCAATTCAAAATGCGGCTTTCGCCTTAGCGCCGCGCACATTCGTTTTAAACAGTTGCAAAAGCTTCCCGGATTGAGGATCACCCGTTTTCAAAATGTGGCTCTCGCCTTAGCGCCGCACACATTGGATTTAAATCAGTTGCAAGAGTTTCACGGGTTCAGGGCGGTTCGTTTTCAACATGTGGCTCTAGCCTTAGCGCCGCGCACATTCGTGCATACACTATGCACGAGTTTCACGGGCTCCCACGATCAGCGTACCAGAAATGGTGGTTTGGAAAGGTTCTGGATTTTGCGGGTGTAACAGGTATGTCGATTCGAGGCGTTGAAACCCCCAAAATTGCGTTCTGGCACAATCCAGGATCGTCAAAACGCAACAGTCAGATTGATCCGTGGCGTTGGAATCCCGAGAACAATGTTTTGGCATGCCTTTGGGTCTTCACACGGTTGTCTTCCAACGAGGCAGGTCCCTCAATGGAAATAAGCCGTTGTAGGGGCCTATGAAGAGGCACTTGGAGGATGGGTGCATTCCGGCATCGTTGATTGCTCTTGGATTTACACTGGTCCTCCTCCTCCTCGTCATCCTCCCGCTCCTCCCGCTCCTCCTCCTCCTCCTCCTCCTCCTCCTCCTCCTCCTCCTCCTCCTCCTCCTCCTCCTCCTCCAACCTCCTCCTCCTCCTCCTCCTCCTCCTCCTCCTCCTCCACCTCTCCTCCTCCTCCTCCTCCTCTCCTCCTCCTCCTCCTCCCTCCTCCTCCTCCCCCTCCTCCCCCCCCCGTCCTCCTCCTCTCCTCCTCCTCCCTCCTCCTCCTCCTCCTTTCCCTCCTCTTCCCCGTCCTCCTCCTCTTCCTCCTCCTCCTCCTCCTTTCCCTCCTCTTCCCCGTTTCCTCCTCTTCCTCTTCCTCTTTCTCTCCGTCCTCCTCGTCCTCCTCCTCATCCTCTTTTCCTCCTCCTCATACTCATCATCATCATCATCATCATCATCATCATCATCATCATCATCATCATCATCATCATCATCATCATCATCATCATCATCATCATCATCATCATCATCATCCTCATCCTCATCCTCATCCTCCTCATCCTCATCCTCATCCTCCTCATCCTCATCCTCATCCTCATCCTCATCCTCATCCTCATCCTCACCATCACCATCACCATCACCATCACCATCACCACCATCATCATCATCATCATCATCGTCATCATCGTCATCATCATCATCAGCATCATCAGCATCAGCATCAGCATCATTATCATCATCATCATCATCATCATCACCATCATGATCATGATCATGATCATCATCAGCATCATCATCATCA